TGTTGGATTTTGCTTCTTATTCCATTTTGCCCGTCTATTTCTCTTGATTGGTGAGTTGAGGCCATTGACATTGCTGGTTATAACTGATATATACTGACTTATTATTGACATGTTATTGGCCTTTTGTTGACTCTTTTTACTTTTTCACCTTCCCCTTTTAGTTTCTTGCATTGCCTATTTGATTTGCTCTGTTGGGCCTCATGGTGTTGTTGCCTTCATTGTCGTTTTGTAGGATCTTGTTTAGAATTGTTGGTAGTGCTGGTTTGGTATTCATGTAGTTTCTCAGGTGTTCTTTGTCGTGGAAGTGTCTTATTTCCCCATCCATTTTAGAAGAGAGTTTTGCTGGATACATCAGTCTAGGTTGGAGGTTGTTCTCTTTTAGTACTTGAACTATCTCATTCCAGGCTCTCCTTACCCCAAGGGTTTGTGTTGAAAAGTCTGCTTTGATTCTGATGGGCTCTCTTTTGCATGTGATTTGTTTCTTTTCTCTTACAGCTTGTAGTATTTTGTTCTTCTGTTGGGTTTCTGGGATCTTGATTATTATATGTCTAGGTGTAGACTTTTTTGGATTGTGGCTGGTTGGGGCCCTATATGCCTCAGTTATCTGAATGTCAAATTCTTCCCCTCTGTTTGGGAAGTTTTCTGTCATTAATCCTGCAAACAGCTTTTTAAAGTCATTTGTATTTTCTCCTGCTACTTCATGTGTTCCTATCAGTCTTATGTTATTCTTCTTTGCATCATCTAGGAGTTGTTGGATCGATTTCTCATGATCCCTTACTGTTTTAGAGAGATCTTTCTTTTCATGGTCACTGACTGCAATCTTATCTTCTATATCTGAGAGTCTATCCTCGTATTCTTTTATTCTGTTGCGTACACTTTCAATGGAGTGTTTAATCTCCTGGATATCTGTTTGAATCTGTTTTATGGATTCCATTTCTTTCCTATGCTGGGCGTATATTTTTTCCATTTCTTTCTTATGCTGGGCCTTCATGGCTTCTATCATGGTCCTGAGCTCATCTATTTTTTTGTCAGTTTCTGCTCTAGAGTCTCGAATCACGACTTCCATTTTGCTCACTATCTCTATGGTTATCTGGGAAATTATTTCTGTTTTGAATTTTTCTAGAGCCTGATTGATCTGTTTTGTTACTTCCTGTGCTTTGAGTTCAGGGTGTCCTGGTGGTTCACTATCAGCGTTTTCATCCTCATTTGCCCTAGTGTTTGCCATTGGTGAACTGGAAGTCTGTCCTTGTGTCTTGCTTAAGTGTTTTCTCATTTTTATTTTTGTTGTGGGACTGTCCTTGGTTTAATCTCTGGGTTATCACCCCAGTCTTCCTGATATAGTTGCGCCCTAGCTTCTGTGTCTCTAACGACCCAAAGACATTCTCATCTTCATAACATCAGAGAAAACAGCTCATCAAATCAACTGCAATCCTTTTTCCCAACTGATACAATCAGCAACACATTAAGATCAAGTGCAATTTGGAAACTGACCACCTGTGGTAGTCACTAGTCTATCACCCTTAAATCATTTGAATTAAACTGAAATCAAGAAGCAGTCCAGAACATGTCTGCAGTGAACAAAATTTCAATATAGTGTATTTACCATTTAATGGCTCAGACAGAGCGAGGATGCAAGACCCCTGGTCTCAGTTAGCTGATGGCTGAACCCTATGACGCTGACTGACCTCAGGCTGCAAGGCCCAGATTGAGTTCCCCAACCTTCTGAATGGTTGAACTCCACACCGTTCTATTACAGGTTTCCCACGCCCTTTCTTTAAAGATGTTCAAAGTTGGGAACTCAGAAAAATACCCTTTATGACCACCTCTGCCTCTGCAGAGTGGATCAAAAGACTGTCACAATCAGGAGGTCTGAGAGTGCGCAGGTGGTGGGGAGGTAAGGGGAGTTATGGGGGTTCAGGGGTGCCCACATGGCTACCTTCCTGGCACTGGAGCAATGGTGGCTGGGGTTGGCAGAAGGCGTGGCTCTCCTTCCCGTGGTGCATCGGGACCCAGGCTACCTTCCGGGCACTCTGTCACAGTCTCTATACATGAAAACTGCTCCCTTAAAAGTATCACTGACATGGTTAGCATGTGTATTTTGTTTTCCTGTCCTTTCTTGTTGGGCACAGTTGACATCCTTTGGTCTTCCTATTGTCATAGAAGGTCTTTGTGATGATGTGCCTGCCTGTTCACCTGTCAACTCACCAGTGTGCTCCACGGTTTTTTTATGAAGTTCCCTGGGCAGAAACATTCTGTTTTTCCTGTATTGTAAATGATCTCTTATGAGTTCCAGTCTTAATCCTCAAACTATATATGCCATATATGTTTAGGATTGAGTAAAGCACAGCCATTGGCTGGCTGACACTTTGCTTTTCAAGTGTCATCATAGTTGCTGCATAACTCATCAACAACATCTACTCTGCCTTTGGTTTTGTTGTAGAAAGTTTCCTTCTTAGCCTTCTGTTTTGTCAAAGTTTCTCTATCAGTATTTCCATCATGGTGCAATGTTAATATCAGCAGTACCAGTTTGTTTTAATTTGCTGTATACAAGGCCAATGTAAATTTTTCTGAAATTCAAAGATTGTACTGTACAATTGTCTGTTTTGAAATTGCAACATTTCATTTGGGATTTCTACAGTTCTTATACTGGTCAACTTGTGCTCTGTTAGTAAATGTAGCATTGATTGCAAACTGGTAAACCAATTGTTGAATGTCTCATTCCAGTTAGTTTGGAAAATGTGAGCAAGAAATATGTTCATAACATCATTCAGTTTATTACTATAGGGATAAGGACCTGGTGGCTGAGTTCCAGCATAAATTTCTAAATTGAAATCATAATAAGTCTTCACATCTACAAAAGCATACATTTTTATGCCATATTTTGACCTATCACTTTTTTATAAGTCTTTTTTACATTTGTGAAATTACCATGAAAAATCCCTGCTAAGTATTTCACCCTTTTGTGTATTTCATAGCATCTTGCAGCATTTCGTTTATTACAATTTCCAACATTAAATGTCAGTGCTGGCATTTTGTCCTATAGGTTTTACCCCTACCAAGATCCTTGCTATATTTTTTACACCTAGTTCAAACATTGGATCCTTCCATTGATTGCCTGAACATTTTGTAACATTTCAACTAGTCAAATATGCACTCACATTGCTGTTTTCTTTGTCATCTGAATCAGGGAGGTCTATATTCCCTGTGTTGGTGTCGGTCAATTCTTGCTCCATTTCATTGTCACAGGAACTTTGGCTCACATCAAAGTCATTATCATCTTCATCATGTTTGACCTCTTCCAAAACTTGCAAATCTGGCTTCTCATATACTCAATTGGGCTACTTCTGCCAGAAAACTCAAAAGAAAATTAAAAAAAAAAAAAATCTGACCCTAAATGAACATAAATTTAACAACAAGCATTTCATGGGTAAAACTCACCTGTTGCTGCTTTGGAGCTCCTGTATACATCTTGCTGTTCATCTGCCAAATGGGTGAATGCTCAGATGGGTTCCCTCCCACACACCTGTACAGCTACTGTGAGTCACACGCACATTCTATTACGATAAAAAAATGTTTTTGTAACAGAAGAGTGGTGTTGGTTGTATTTACCCCCTGTGATGCTCAGATAAACATATGCAAAATGAAGCATGTGGGTAAAAATCCTAGTTTGACACTTTTGCACACATGCACAAACATTGCTGTTATTGTACCAAGTGGGTAAACAAAGATTGCTTCCTGTATCATCTAGGTGCAGCTACTGAGATTCACAGCTGGCTACTATTATGCTAAAGTACAAATTTTTAGTAGAAAACTATGGGAATGGGTTGTTTTAACCCAGTGTTATGCCCAGATTTTTTTATTTGTTTTGTTTTCATTTTGGTTTTTTGAGACAGGGTCTCACTATGTAGTTCAGACTGCTCTGGAAATCACTGTGTAGGCTCAGGCTGGTCTCACACTCGCAATGATCCTCCTGCCTCAGCCTCCTGAATGTTGGGATTTATAGGCATGCTCCACCACGCCCGGCACAATATTTTTTTTTTCAGGTTGATTATGTTAATCATTTGAAATACATTCAAGTTTATTTAATCTTACTTAGTCTTAATTTTTTCCCTGTATCTGTGTTGATTTAAAAATTTTTTTTAATATACAGAACCTTTAAAAAATCTTTTGTTTTTCTGAGATAAAGGCCTCACTGTGCTCTCCAAGCTGATTGGTTTTAAACTCCAAAGAAAGACTCAAGAGATCTTCCTACCTCAGCTGCCCAAAGCTAAGACTACTGCTCAGCTGTGTAAAACTTTTTTTTTTGTACCGGGGGTTGAACTCCAGCCCTTGCGCTTACAAGGCAGTCCACCGAACCGTTGAGCTAAATCCCCAGCTTTTTTTTTTTTTTTTTGGTACCGGGGATCGAATTTGGGTCCTTGAGCTTACAAGGCAGGCGCGGAACCACTGAGCTAAATCCCTGCCCCGTATAGAACTTTTAATATGTTTCTAAAAGTCAATACTATACCAAAAAAGTGTATTGTACTTAAAATTATTTCTCTTATTTCTTCCAATTAATTCCCTTCCATACTTTAAAGTAACCAATTTCTTTTTTTCTGGTTCTTGCTTCCTGTGTTTCTTTTTCCAAAAGTAAGCAGATATATGAATATTTTTTTATTTCCTCCTTAGTCCTTACATAAAAGATATTCTACTATTTGTAATCCTTTGTACTTTATTTTGTTAATTTAATAATATGGCTTAGAAACTATTCCATAGCAGTTCTTCATTTGTTTTATAGCTCTTTAAATGTTAGGGCATATAGGTAGTTTTCAGCATTTTGCAATAATACTGGAATGAATAACCATGTTATTTAAATTTTAGCCTATTGATTTTACATTGAGATTGATTTTTAATTTTTGCATTTTCTGAGTTTTTTTAATAAATTAAACTTTAAATAATTGTAGGGTTTTTTGTTTGTTTGTTTTTTAACATTTGCCACTTTAATCTTGTTCCGTGAACAGGTAGATTTAGATGTTACATTACCTGGGGAAGGTGGAAAAGATCGACCTTTCAAGGTGTCAATCAAATTTGTCTCTCGGGTGAGTTGGCACCTGCTGCATGAAGTACTGACAGGACGGACCTTACCTGAGCCACTGGAATTAGACAAGCCAATCAGCACTAACCCTGTCCATGCCGTTGATGTGGTGCTACGACATCTGCCCTCCATGAAGTGGGTGCTTCTGGCTTTTTTTCCTCTTTAGATTTTCAGTGGGAAGGTTTTCCTTCTAAGAGTGAGTTGTACAGGCCTTCTTTGGTCAACCTTCACATGTTGTGGATTTCGATTATTTGTTAAAGTAAAATAGCATGCATATAAGTTCATTGACAGAATTAAGTTATAGAGTATTTTATGACTTTTGCAAATAAATATACATCTTTGGTTTAGCTGTTCTAATGAATTTTTTATAGATAAATGTCTCATCCTTTCTCGTAGAGCTATAGATCTTGAAAAACAGATATATTTTCAGATATATTCCTGTAGTTAAATCACCTTGTTTTAAAAGTAATTTTTACTGTTTAAGCAATAGTGTCAAATTATGTTGAAATTGCTGTTCTTAATCACACTAGTATTTCCAGTGTGTATATGTGTACTGGAGGCATGTACATATGTGTGATTTTCTTAGTGTGTCTTGAAATATTTATAGAAATTTTTTTATTATTATTTAGTATTTTTTAAGTTGGAACTGTTAACTTTTTAAAACCTATTTAAAAGAAAGTGTTTTAAATAAAACTTATTAATATGTAAATTAATGGTTCTGAAATGGATAATTTTAGTGAAGGATGTTGCTGAATTTTTTTCATTTAGAATGGCTACTTTTTGCTTTCATAAATTTGGAAAACATTTTGTTTGATATATTAATAATTATGAACCTCTTATGCTTTAGGCTCCATTTTTATGCAGATTTAAATATATAGGAAGGAAAGGATTGAATTGCCATTTTAATTTTTGTAGATACACACCTGTGGGGCGTTCCTTTTTCTCAGCTCCAGAAGGATATGACCATCCTCTGGGAGGGGGCAGGGAAGTATGGTTTGGATTCCATCAATCTGTTCGACCTGCTATGTGGAAAATGATGCTTAATATTGATGGTAAGAGAACTAAAACTGTGTTCTGAATGGGGAGAGTGTGTGTGTAGTAATAAGTAATATTTGGAAATGTACTATGACAATTTGGAAAAACCTTTGTATTTTTTATTTTGATGAAATCTTTTTTTTTTTTTTTTTTTTTTTTTTTTTGGTACTGGAGATAGAACTCAGGACCTTGCGAGGCAGGCAGTGGCACCACTGAGCTAAATCCTCAGCCCCGTTGCCTTTTTTATTGCATTTCATTTAGGAAGCCTTTATGCAGAATTTGTTGTGGAATGCTTTTGCTTATTCTATCTGCATTTGGTCCTGTACTTTAAATTTTTAAAATTAAATTCTGGACACCATGTTGTGTATCCCTACTGCTTCAGTACATATCTCTGAAAACTTGTGCGCTATCTTACACAGCAGCAGTGTCATTTTTGTATGTAAGAAAATTAAAAATAATTTTTATACTAAAATCCTCCTTATCCAATTTTTTTGATTTTCTCAAATATATCTTTTTCTGGTTAGTTGAGTGTAATCAGAATTCAAAACAGGATCCATATACCACAATTGGTTATTATGTCTTTTTTAATCTAATAGTCCTATTTCCTTCCTTGTTTGTTTGGATTTCTTTCTTTCCTTTTTTATATCAGTAAATTATTATAGATAGTTGGTCACTTTTCCTATAAAATATTTCCCAAGGCTGAATTTGTCTTTTATTTTTTCATATCAGTACTTTGTTCCTCCACCCTCTATATTTCCTTCAAATGAAAGCCCTAGAAATTTAAGTCAGTTCTGGTTCAGCATACTTAATAAGTGCTTTATATAGTGTTATGCTGGTAAATACACAGTATTAGTTATCTCAGTTTTAGTGATGCTAAAATTAACCTGTAGATTAATTAGAGACTATTGATCATTGTTACTCAAGTTATATATTTTACTAGAGATTATCAATGGGTAATTTTTTCAAATTCTGCTATTGTTTTTCTGCTAGATGGAATTCGTATGTGTTAGAGTACAGTACCCTATTGCTAATTCATTAATGTTTGATGTCTTCCTTGCTTTCTGGCATAGCAGGATAATCTGGCTCATCATATATTTCTGGAATTGGCTGATCTTCAAAGAATCCTTCATCTTTCCAAATTAGTACAGTTTTTCCTCATTTTTTCCAGCAGCATCTGCTGTTGTGACAATGAGAGAGGACATGTTTAACCAATCCCTTTTAGATATGTACTAGAACTGTTCTAAATTACCTGTAATTTCAGAACATTTAGATATTTCTGTAAAATAAATTCTTGAAGGTGAGATTCATGGGTTAAGGGTAAATGTATTTTTAATTTTGATTGTTTTTGTTTGTTTTTTTCCCATTGAGTTTATTGGTACATTTTAGGTATACGGTACAGTTACATTCATCATTGGGATCTTGTATAATTTTGATTGTTATTGCTAGATTGCCCGCCATGGAGGTAATAAATACTTTGCATCAGTGAGTGACAGTACCTATTTTCTTATGTCTTTGCCACAAAAATTACCAAACTCTTAGATTTTTGTCTGTCAGATTTGTAAGAAATAGTTTATGTGCTGTTAACTTACATTTAACTACCTTTTCTCTTATGTCAGACCCTTTGTCTCACTTGTTTCCTTTCCTTCCTTCCGTCCCTCTATCATCCTCCTTCCTTTCCTCTCCCTCCCTCCTTTTATTCTTTCCTTCTTCTTGTAGAGCTAGGGATCAAAACCAGGGCCTTGTTTATACTAGGCAAGTATGAACTGATACCACTGAGTTGTATCCCTAGTCTGCTGTGTTTCTTTTTTAATGAAGTGCTGGTTTGTGTCCTCTGTCCTTTTTTCTTATTGAATTTTTGGTCTCATTTACTTGCTTTTTGTTTGTTTGTTTGTTTTTTGTTTTTTGAGACAGGGTCTCACTATGTAGTTGAGACTGACCTGGAGCTCACAATGTAGCCCAGGCTGGTTTTGAACTCACAGAGATCCCCCAGGCTGGTTTTGAATTTACAGCGATCCTCCTGCCTCAGCCTCCCGAGTGCTGGGATTATAGGCATGCGCCATCACACCCGGCTTTTACTTGCTTTTTAAATTAAGATTAATGCTTCATCTATAATATGAGTTGCAGGTGTTATATCTAAATTATTTATCTTTGACCTTTGTATCGTACAGTTTTTTGTTTTTGTTTTTTTGCCACACAGAAGCTTGTCTGAAACATATGCTCATACACAGACACACGCTTATGTATTGGTCAATTATTTCTTTTTTGTTTTGTTTTGTTTTTTGAAACAGGGCCTTACTATGTATTTGAGACTGACCTGGAACTCACTATGTAGCCCAGGCTGGTCTCAAACTCACAGCAATCCTCCTGCCTCGGCCTGCAAGTGCTGGGATTACAGGCATGTGCCACCACACCCAGCTGGTCAATTATTTCTTTTATGAGTTTTTGTTTGTTTGTTTTTGGTGTGTGTGTCCCATCCCATCCCGTCGTCCTCTGTTCCCCCATTCCCCCGTCCCCTGCCCCCACCCCTACCCCCAGTTGTTGAGGATTGAATCCAGGACCTTATGCATTCTAGGCTAGCATTCTACTTTGGGCTACACCCCTAGCCTTTTATGACTTTTAATATCTGATAGGGCTAATTATTATTTTACCACATAAGCTTTATAGAAGGTGAGAAACAGGTTATTATTTTTATTGAGGTTTTGTTTTATAAATTAACAGTACAAATTTAAGGTATTCTTGTATCCAAAAATATAGTATGTCTATTTTGTTTCCTTCAGGAGAGTTTTAGAGCTTTTCTCACATAAATTTTGCCTATTGCTTTTTTTTTTTTTTTTGGCACTGGGGATCAAACTCAAGACCTTGCACTTGCGAAGCAGGCAGCGGAACCACTGAGCTAAATCCCTGGCCAAAATTTGCCTATTTCTTGTTACTTCTAAAGAATTTCTGCCATTTGTTGCTATTAAATAGATTTATAGATTATAATGATTATTGTTTACATACATGAAGACTTTTTTTTTGGTACTGGGGATCAAATGTAGATTAGAGTAGCTAGTATTTATTTAGTCCACCAATCTTTTTTTCTCCCTAGCAGAAAAGCTTTTAAATTTTTTTAAAAAGTCTTTCTGGCTTTCTGTTTTGTATCTTCTTAATTTCTTTTGTTTTTATAATGTTTTTCCTCTACTTTTATTCAGTTAACTAAATTAAATTTATTTTCCTATCCTTTTAAACTATATTAATAACTTACTTTCAGTTTTTCTTTTTCGTAAAAGTATTTAAAACAGGGCCAGATATGGTAGCATATTCCTATAATCCCAGCTCTCATGAGGCTGAGGCAAGAGGAATGCCATGAGTTCAAGACTAGCCTGGACTACATAGTGAGTTTGAGGCTAGTCTGAACTACATAGTGAAATCTTGTCTCAAAAACCAAAACCAAACAACAAAAAGTGTATTTAAAAACAATGACTTCTCTTCTGGTCACTGTTTTAGTTTTATTACAAAGCTTTTAATGTGTAGTATTTTTATTTTATACGTTAAACACCAGAGATTTCATTATATTTCCTATGATTTACATATTGAGAGTTTTTAATTTTTTAGATTAAAGGATGTGTAGTTTTCTGGTTTGGTTTGGTTTTGTCTTTGGTTCTGGGGATCTAATTCAGGACCTTGTGCTTGTGAGGCAGGTGGAAAGATCACTGAGCTAAATCCCTGGCCCATTTCTGGTTTTGTTTTGAATTTGAATTTTTAAAAAATTTTATTATTATTATTTTATGTATTTTTGGTACCAGGGATCAAACTTAGGTCCTTGCACTTGCGAAGCAGGCAGCAGAACCAATGAGCCAAACCCCCAGCCCTACTTTGAATTTTTAGTTTTATGTGTTAATCAGAGAATGTAGTTTGTGGTATTTTTTTGTGTTTTGATTTTGTTTGCCTTTTAAAGGCACTTGTGTTGCCTAGGTTGGTTTTGAACCACTGGGCTTAAAGTGATCCTGCCACCTCAGACTGCCAAGAAACTGGGAACACAAGTGAATATCAACCATCTGTATTTCTACTTCAGAATTTGTTGAGATTGCTTTATTTATTTATTTATTTATTTATTTATTATTTTTTGTACCAGGGATTGAACTCAGAACCTTGCACTTGCCAGGCAGCCAGTAGAACCACTGAGCTAAATCCCTGGCAATTTCAAATACTTTTTTTTTTTTTTTTTAGTACCGGGGATGGAACTCAGGTCCCTGTGCTTTTGCAAGGTAGGCCTCAGAACTACTGAGCCCAAGATTGTTTTTTTTTTTTTTGTACCAGGGATTGAATTTGGCACCTTGCACTTATGAAGCAGGCGATAGAACCACTGAGCTAAATCCCCAGCCCAAGATTGTTTTTCATAGCCTAATATATGATCAGTTTTTGTGATACTTCAACAGGTATTTCAAAATATATCAGAGTAGAATGAAATTAATATCTACCAGAGCTGTCATTTTGATCATGTTATTTCTGTATTTATTTTTCTTTTCAGGCTAGGAAAAATAAATTTTAAGTTTCCCAGAGTTTCTTTTTGTCTTTATACCCCTTATAATTTCTGTTTTATGAATGTTGAGTTATATTACTTGATTCATATGTTCATAATTTCTTCATTGTGAATCATCTTTATAGTGATAAAAGCAACATATTTTTAATTTTTGGTTTGATGAAAGAACTGTAATCTGTGGTTTTGTGAACTGTATCCTATCCTTTAATTTTTCTTTTCCTTTCTTTTTTTATAACACTTGGAGGAGGGTTAGTATTCTGAAGATTGAACCCTGGGCCTAATGCATACTAGACAATCACTCTACCTACCTACGTTCCCACCCTTTTATATATATATATATATATATATATATACAACATCCTGAACCATAGATATATCTGTTTTGGGGTGGGTTTTTTGTTTTGTTTTGTTTTTTTTACATTGCCTGGGATTGAACCTAGGGCTTTTGGCATGATAGACAAGTGCTGTACAACAGGCCTACACATGCATCTTCAT